CAGAGCCACTACTGAGTGAACCAGGAAATGGATGACATATTCAGTGAAGGTAGGAAATCAGCAACAAGGACATGTAAAGAGGTTTTTGCCTGGAGTTCTACTGTAAGTATGTATGTACCATACCTGTGGGATCCCCCTGGAAGCAGGAAATCACTGTAGCAGGCACTGCTATTACAGTGATTGCCGTTAGCTGCTGGGTCCTGTGCCAAGTGGCTGCCCTGCTGCATTATGAGCATAAGAGGTCACTTGCAGGAGCCAGTCAGCACAGGATGTGGAAGCTATTGGCAATCACACTAGTAGCAGTGCCTACTACATTGATTTTCAGTTTCCAGGGGGATCCCACAGGTATGGCACATACATACAATAATTACATTGGTTCAGGCTGTAAAGATTACCATCCCTGGAATTCAATTTATTGCATACTAATCACACAAATACAGTGGGCAACATTTCAGGGCTGTGCAGGACTCCTTCATATGAACAAACGAAACCAGCGCTCAAATCTTCATGCAGACTAAGATAACTGAAACTGTCATTCGTAGAGGTGCAGCCCTTAAAGATCGGGAAATCTTGATACTGGTGAACAAAAGCAAAACAGGACGCACTCTCTTTGTGCATTTAACATAGTAAACCAAGAATTTATTATGAAGCATAAAATGCATTCTCACAAACCAAAGGGGCATAAAAAAAGACACGAAGAGTCCATAATGACAACCCAAAGTGATGGTAGACCCTTGGTGAGGTAGGCTAACGCCCTTCGGGAGACGAACTCCCTTCATCTTGGTTTACTAAGTTAATGCACGAAGAGAGTGCGCCCTGTTTTGCTTTTGTTCAGCAGGACTCCTTTATCGCTGACCTGGAACATGCACAAACATTAGGGGTCTGAGGATCTCCAGCATTAGCATTAGCTTGGGTAAACCTAAATTTATCCTTGAATTCTATTGTTATTGCCTTACAACTGAGGAACCTTCTCAAAACTCCCTAGATTCCTGGACATGCTTGAGGAACTTATCTTCCCTCCTTTAGCACCTCGGAGCAGAGGTAGCTGGGCATGTGGTCTGCAGCCAAGTGAGAGGCCCAGCTACTGTGGGGTGCACCATTCTAAATACTACAGAGTATACTAGTTCCTGTGGGGTGGCAACTTTGTCTTAGGGCTTAGATCCCTCCAACTGGTTACCCTGAACTTTACTGAAAAGATTGCTGTTTATGGGGATAATTGCTGTTTGCGTTCTGATCTGTTTTCCTGAAGTAGTGATTCTCAGATAGACTCTGTGCTGTTATGGAGACTGTTATTCAGCCATATTACTCTGATTGAATCACAGAGACATTGGTGTGAAGACTCCATGTTTGTGCATCTTTCACAATCTGTTTTGTATTATTCTGTTATGTATGCTTGCTTTTTGCCATTCTGAACCTGGTTTGTATTGTCGCACCAATTTGGTAAACTGCAAGTTACAGTTACTTTCTGTCTAATCCTTCAGCTGATGACCTATTCTGCTAACTCTTAACTGTAAATTTAGATGTAGATCCATTGAATTTGATATAAATATGTGGGTTTGTTTTTCAGTGCTGATTTCTTGGCATGCTGTATTACTGAAAAATGTAAAATCAGTAATGAGATTAAGGCTAATAAACCATAAGGTTGTTGGACAAGAGAAGGGTTAAAATTATGGTTTAGGATTACTTGTTGGGGTTAGTTTAAGGTTTAGGGTTTTGGGGTTGTAAATATTAGGGTAATTGCTAAGTTCTTAGTAGTTTTAAATTGTATCTCAACCCAAAAATAGAAATTGTATATATTGCAACTTACCTGCTGTATTTATGTTTATTTTGTGGGCTTTTCCCATTTATATTTACCTGGTAATCCAGCCAGTAACATAACTCCTGTTTTATGGTGGCTACACTCACTCCTATCTATGGAGGAACAATTTAGACACCCTTGGATCAGTACTGTCAACTTGTGGAGAGAGGGTAGTGTTAGATGTTCTAGCAGATTCAGATGGACTTGACTGATAAATTAAAGCTTAAGAGCCAGTTCACACCAGGATCGCACATGAACACGTGCCACATTCCCCAGCGAGTTTTGTGCATTCCTGTGCAGATTGATTTTGCAGCCCAGTCATTTGAATGGGCTACAATTCACACCAAAACATGGGAAAAGTAACGCATGCACTACCTTTTAAAAACATGTCACACCAAATTGCATGGTACTGTGTTATCACCCAATTGGGTGTCTGCAAACACACTGCATTTACAATCTGCTTCTGAGGTGCTGTTACCATACCATTAGCACCTGTATGCAGGTCATAAGGGCAGTGTATTCTAACATGGTGCAGGAAACGCACAGCATTCTTATGTAAAGCAGTTGGTGTTTTAAGCAGTTACCACAAAATTTGTTTTTTTTCCCTTTAGGATAAAGGTTTTAATAAATAATAGCTGACCATTGTAAACACCCCTGTTATTGTTAAAATTGTTTGTCTCAACCATCTATCTGCCACTTTTTTTACATACTGGCAGGATCACCAGGTAATAAAATTATGTTACATAGATGACCCTGAAACACAACGACTGCTGTGTTAATGTTTTTGACAGACTGCATCATCTATGTAATTTTTTACTTTGCCCAAAGTTCCACTGAAAGTCGGTTGATTTTGACTATACCATATATCTTTACACGATGGTGCCATATTCAATCTTGATGCTTTTTAAAATACCAAATATTAACATATTCTGTGTTTGGCTCTATTATTATTCTATTTAAAGGGATATTTAATCCTAACATTTCAATGTCTTTAATAGCATCCTTCGTACTTGTTAATTCATTTTAGGGAGGATACTGAAGGACTGCAGCACTGTACTCCAGTGGGGAGATCCCCTTGCTGAAAATCATGGTTTGGTACCTTCACAAGTTGTGATAGCTCTATCAATTTACCAGTGTTCACAAAGCAATGAGTATTTTGAAGATGATTAACATGATATGGAAGGTAGTTCACCCCTGAAATTTGTCTGTCTAAGCCACAGAGTCTGTCCTGAAGAGCATCTTTGTTGTGTCTGCTTCATTATTTCCACAGGCGCTGTACTCAATCACAGCATAAAAAAGCAGCAACATGTAAGTAGTGAAGTCATCGACCTTCAGTGAGACTGGTGCAACTCCTTACTTATTTTTGTTAAGACAGCCTTTCTCAGCCAGGGTTCCTCTAGAGGTTGCTAGGGGGTTCCTTGAGCACTATTACCTCTTGGAAAAATAACCACTATCAATGTTTAGTTATCTGTAAGGGAAGGATCCTTCCCAATGACCTCAAATGTAAAAAGTATTCTTGCCAGTGACCATCACTCTAATGTACCATGAGCTGTAGATAAAGTAATAATTACCAGGGGTTCAATGAGGCTGGAAAGTTATTAATATTATTATTATTGTTATTATTTTAAGGGTTTCCACATGTTATAAAGGTTGGGAAAGTTTGGATTAGGGTGACTTCTACCGTTTCCCAAGGTAAGAAGTGAGAAACCATACTGTCAAACCAAACCATTGTCAGAAATGTCCTCTTCCTCTGAGGAAGAGGGTATAGCCCTGGAAACGCGTAAGCTGCATCCTAGCTGGTGGACATGTGTCTGGTGGTTTGTCTAGCTCCTTTTTGGTATATTGGTATTTATTTTGTTTCAATAGAGTCTCACAGTCATGCACTAGGCTGGTGTGCCTTCTTCCTGTGCTTGTTTTTTAGCAATGTCCCCCTCCTCAAAGCAATCGATCAGTTGCTTGATTTGACTGTTTGAGCTATAGCGATCACAACTGAAATATGACTAACTGCTACGAACAACACTTCCACTCCCTCTCTTATTATGAAAGATCTTCAATAAGTATTCAGACTGACATTGATGTAAAAGTTTTAATACTTTCAACAACAAATGTGCACATTTCACATGTAGCACCCACCTAGTTAGCTAGGGGGAGCTCTAGTTTCAATTGTTAGACAGGAGCTGAGTAGCAGCCCAGGTGTAACAGTCAGAGGGAGGTTAAATCTGGGTCAGAGCTGAGAGGCTCTGCAGGCCAGCTCTCTGAGGCTTCCCCCTGCCCTAGAACTTTGGAGAAAATTCTAGAAGTAATGGGTGGAGGTAAGGAGTGGCTGGTCTGCATTCTTGAGGGATCCTGACCAATTCCCAACAGGAAGCTTGGCATGGGGTCAGGACTTCCCTTAAAAGTAAGAGAGCCTGCTTAGCTGGAGGAGAGTTGGACAGGAGTTCGGGTGGAAGAGGAGGATGTGAGGCTGAGGAGCAGGAGCCTGGGAGAAAGCCCTGATGTGAGAGGGGCTCACCTCCAGGAAGGGACCTTGGAAGGAGGAAAACTCAAGACTTCATGCCCTACTGCCCCCTGAGAGAGGACCAGCTGTGCAGCAGGGAAGGAGCGGCCCAGTTAGGTCTGGTGCAGCCACCCATCAGCAGCACAGGAGAAGGACTGAGTGCGTAGATCATCACCACCTGGGCCAGATAAGGGAAAGAGGCACTGCCACCTTAGCCAGCCACCCAGAACTGTTTTAACATTTATGTGGCAGACACTGGATCCCCTGCTCAGGGATTCTTTATCCAGAACACCTGGATAAAGAGTATTTGGCATCTAGGATGTTACCACAGGAGACGCTGGCTAGCTATCCAAAAGAGACTGTTTGCTGTGACCACTTGTACATAGTTCATTAAGTTGTCCTCTGTTTCTTAGTTCCATTGGGCATCCCACACACCCCTTAACCCATTCAAATTTTAAATACCCTAATAAAACTTTAAAAAAGCTCAAGGACTGGTTACTGACTCCAGCATGCAAGTGGATGTGAAAATGCTTGTTGCCTGACTGTGCAGGACTATATGGGGACCCAAAACTTCAGCAACTCCTAAGGGGGTAGTGCTACACACACATAGTACAAATCAATTCAAGCAGCAGTGGATGTGAACCCAGATGATAAACAGAAGTGAGCTCTATGACCTGGTACTTTTTGATTCTTGCCCAAACCCACCTTTCCTGGCGCGTCTGTTCCTCCGTAGTTTCCATGGCACATTCTAATGAGTTCTGGAGAGACTGCAGCTGGTTCAGTGTTTCCTTCAGCAGAAAACGTGTCACAAACTGTTCCAATTTTGAGGCATTCTGATATTGCTGAAACAAAGCAGAAGTGTCACATGTGATGAGTCTTTTATAACACAATGTTTTGGGTCTTCAGAACCTTGACTTTCATTGTACCCAGGCAGTTTTAAAGATAAACGTATAATAGATAATAAAATGAACAGGACCAAAAAAAAAGAAAAACACAAATGTAAAATTCGACCAGCTGAGATTCTCAAGAGGAAACAACATTTCCAAACCACACTAATGGATCTCATAAGAAGCCTTGAAAATTCAAACACCAGCTAAAGGAACATAACTGCCTCTTTACCTTGGCTATTTCAGGCAACTCTTACTCTTTTATTTTTTCTTTGCTGAGTCAACAGCATTTACCTTGCCAACAACTATAATTTGAACAAATGCAAGGATCAAAAGAAATAAGAAAGACAAATAATACAAGACAAGTAAATTAACACAGTTAAAATAATTAATTAGGATTAGAGGTTTACAAGGGCTTAAAATCACTGATAAATGTACAAGGGCTGTACTGAAAGTAATGCCAAATTTGGCATAACACTTTAAACAACCTAAATAGGTCATTCATATTTCACGTTGGTAGAGAAACCCTTCCTCTATGATAACTCTTTTTCATTTTCATTGCTGGTTAATAATGGATTACAAGCAGAAGCAACATTGAGTATCTGCAATAGGATGGCAGGCTCTCCAACACCCACAGAAGGCTACAGAATGTGTATGACAACGACACCATTGACAAACAATTTCTTGTCATTGGTGGTTCTTGTCAATGGTGTCATCTCTATAAACATTCTGTAGCCTTCTGCAGATGCCAGATAGCCTGCACTCCTGTTTCAAGAACACAATACTGCTTCTGCTTGGAATTCATTATTTAGCTGTAATAAAAAAGAATTGCTATAAATAAAGAGTTATTCTACCAACATGTGATGCTTGAACGACTTATGTAAGTTAACAAAAAAGTTAGGCTCACTTTTGCATTACTTTCAGTACATTCTTTGTATTTTAAACCTATTTACTAAAATCTCATTTAAACTTTAAAAAGATACGATCACCTTACTTATGCAGGGCAAGATGGCAGTGTCGTGGAAAGGACATCCCCTGACCACCATATACTTACCTTACCTGCACTCCCTTGAGGTTCCTTGCTTCACTGCAGCCAGAGGTGCCCTTTCCATATATGTTTGTGCTGCATCAGCAAAGTGATAGAGTTTCTTTGCAGCTTTCATTAAAAGAATACAATCTATTAGATTGTAAGCTTTTATGAGCAGGGCCCTCTTAATCATCTTGTTTTTCAATGTATTGTAACTGTACCGTCTCCCTTGATATTGTACAGTGCTGCGCAAACAGTTGGCGCTATATAAATCCTATATTATAATAAGAAGAAGAATAGTACTCAGTGATCCTGCCATTGGGGATCTTGTTCAGGCAAGTCTTGTCATGGGGTGACAAGCAGATTTCAGCTGTGCTCCTGCAGTGTTGCCCTGTCACATACATTTCTGGTGGAGTCTACAAGCAGCTATGCTGACACAAATTGTACAGGCATAGTCTACAGGTAAACTGGTCCAGAGCAATGATGTGCAGATCATGCTGAATATATACATGTATATATACAAGATGTGGCTGAAAGAGGCTAGGGGGACCTTTATAGTTTTATTGTTTATACTGTAGTACACATTGCTTTATGGCAACCTGTCAATCATTCCTCCCGATAATGTCACTTCCGGTCAAGAAATACCGCAAGACTTCACCATTCTTCCCAAAGGCACCTTGGAAAACCAATGGTGATTACCCAAGAGTCCTAGGGAATCGCCTAATGAAAAAATCGCCTAGGCGGCCGGACCGGAAGAGCAGGATACTGACAGCAAAAAAAGATATTTAAAAATAAATAAATAAATAAAAATTGTGTGGCAAGGATCATGAAAAAAGGGTGGAACTCCACTTTAAGTGGCCCTCACTCTTCAAAAGGTTGAGCACTCCTGGCTTAGAGAGACTTTCCATGCCTGCTCACCATTGCAAGCAATATGATACAACACAGCCATTTTTTACCGGCACAGGGATGCAGCTGTATGCCCCAATAGAAATAAATGGACGCCGGCACATCTGATGAGTGCATCCCTGTGCCCCTAAGTGATGGCCCTGCATCTGAGAAGTATGTCTGTGCTTCATGTGAATGGGGTCTTACAGCTGCTGTCATGGGGGAGAGGGAAGTTAAGTGCAGTGGGGACCAGGGGGGAAGGTGGATCAGAAAAGTCTGTTGTAGTGAGTTTGTTCACATTTTTATTTATTGTAAAAAGGTGAACTAACTTTAAAAAGAATCTTAATACATTAGAGTAGTTTATTAACAAGGATAAGGATCAGGGGTAAGGCCAACGACTAGATCACATTAGTTATGAAAAATGTCATTATTGGCCAAACAAGGCATGCCATCCAGAGCTATTTATTAACCCCTTCATGAGTGCATAACACATACACTCACCAGCCACTTCATTAGGTACACATTGCTAGTGCCAAGAAAATCTCCCCCACACCATTACACCACCACCAGCAGCCTGAACTGTCGATACAAGGCAGGATGGATCCATGCTTTCATGTTGTTTACACCAAATTCTGACACTACCATCTGAATGTCGCAGCAACCAGTCTGCCCATTCTCCTCTGACCTCAACAAGGCATTTTTGTCCACACAACTACTGCTCACTGGATATTTTCTCTTTTTCGGACCATTCTCTTTAAACCCTAGAGATGGTTGTGTGTGAAAATCCCAGTAGATCAGCAGTTTTTGAAATACTCAGACCAGCCTATCTGACACCAACAGCCATGCCACGTTCAAAGTCACTTAAATCCCCTTTCTTCCCCATTCTGAACCTCGGTTTGAACTTCAGCAAATCATCTTCACCATGTCTACATGCCTGAATGCATTGAGTTGCTGCCATGTGATTGGCCGATTAGCAATTTGTGTCACTAAGCAATTGAACAAGTATACCTAATAAAGTGGCCAGTGAGTGTATATGTGGCATCCAGGAAGTAAGCTTTATACTGCAACTCCCTCCTCACTGGCCTGCCTCGCCGCTGGCTATCCCCGCTTCAGTCGATCCTGAATACGGCTGCCAGACTCATTCACCTTTCCAACCACTCCGCCAATCCCTCCACTGGCTTTCGATTGCGCAATGGATCAAATTTAAAATCCTAACACTGACGTACAAAGCTGTCCACCATACTGCCCCGAACTACATCACCGACCTAATATCCAAGTACCACCCAGCACGCACACTCCGCTCCTCACAAGACCTTCTCTCTAGTTCCCTGGTCTCCTCCTCCCATGCCCGCCTCCAGGACTTCTCCAGGGTGTCACCCATCCTCTGGAACTCCCTTCCCCAACCCATCAGATTATCACCTACTCTCCTCTCCTTAAGGCGCACCCTGAAAACCCATCTCTTCAGGGAAGCCTACCCCCTGCTAACTTGACCGACCTCCTCCACTCTTCCTACCACTCCATCCCCCACAGCTATCTCCTCCTGTACCACTATCCCGTCCCTTCTAGATTGTAAGCTCGAAAGAGCAGGGCCCTCGATCCCCTCATGTTTTGCATTGTATTGGTATTGTTCTGTCACATGTTCTGTCCCCCTTTGTAATGTACAGCGCTGAGCGAACTATTGGCGCTTTATAAATACTGTATAATAATAATAATAATTCCTGGGTGCTGCATAGATGTGCTCCTGAATATGTGCTGGAAACACGTTCAATCGCATGCTTCCCAGGTCACTGAGACTGAGCTAAAATCTCATACTAACAATCGGGATCCTTATTGTCAGGATCCTTCCAGAGCCTGGAGCGTATCTGTGATGTCAGCCGACAGCAGAAGAGCACAATTAAGTGCACTTTTGTGACCCACAATGAGAAGTATGGCCAAAAAAGCTTTAGCCATACTTCTCTTTTAAGATTTGTTTTGACCTTGGACATGAAGGGGTTAATAAGGATGGCATTTTTACCTAAAGTTCTAAAATAACTCTAAATGCACCCAGTAATTTTTTTTTTTTTAACAAAAGTGACCACCATCAGTCTGCTGCTGTGCTATGAAGGTGTCATAAGGATGATGCCAACTGGACTTTATGATGGGAAAGTGACACATCTGTGTATGGACAGTTTCTCCTGAAGTGACACCATGGCTGTCCTCAGGTGCTGACTGTGAATGTCCTGTCTCCTGTAATGTTGGCAGAGGCTTCACAATGTCACATGCTGTTTCCTGCGCAGCTTCAGCTGTCTTCTGTATTAGGACAACACCTAGTGACTTTTCAATATGTTCATTCATCTGTGAATAACAACTCATTTTGCGGTGCAGGATGTAAACCCTTACGTTGAGGATTTGTTGTAATCAAATGACACAGGGCCCCTGTTCTGATAAAACAAAATCTACATCTCGAAGATGTATGAAATGAATAATAGTGTTGAGGGTTTTTTTGGGGGTAATAATGACAATATTCTGGTGATTCTATTTATATAACATGTATAGCTGTGGTGTGGGCAGACTGCCTGAAGCGCACTGCAGTTGTCACAACACATTTGGCTTTCACTCCCAGCATATTTCATGATCTGTACAACTAGTACTGGATAATCGTCACTGTGCGATTCTGGATCAGTGTGCCACTGCTTTGTGATGCCACCATCAATATGCCATTGTTTGGGATGCCATGATCAATCTATAATAATTCTACAATGCCACCTTTGGAGTGCCAATGCCCTGGCATGCCACTGTCCACACTCTATGGTACTGTAATGCCACATCCAGTGTTCCATTATCCCTGTGCCACTATAAGACAATCAAGTAAAGAAACATTTCAAAAATATCATATTCTGTGTGATATGAATCTGGAATGCTATAGTGAATATCTTATGACAGTGCCAATCCACAGATGCTATGTAAGCCATCGTTGGTTTTTGAAGAGACAGATAACATGCTATTATTCTGCACTTTCACATTTAGTGTGTTAGTGCCCTAGGAAGCTACATAGAGGGTACAATTG